AATAACTTTGCCATATATACGTACGTAAGAAAATGTCTTATACATAGAGCTTAAAAATATATTCAATATTATATGTTACAACATCATGATCAATATTCCAAAATAAAAAGTTATAAAAATCTAGCCTTTGAAGCTAAACAACCTAGTGAAAACATGCACCCACACAGAAGGACACATGTGTGCATGACGCATGAGCAGCACAAGACAATGCACCACTGTTTCCTTGTGGTCTCCGAGTCTGGAGAAGGTGGGGAAACCCCACGCTTAGGTGCGTAGAAATTATCACCAAACCAAAAAACAAAATCAATTCAATTGTGGGTCAGATTCAGATGATGCGAGGCTTGTGTGCAGTGCACTTCTCGTGGGGCGTGTGCGGGTGAGAGAGAGCGAGATCAGATGAGTCTTTGCGTGCTTGCGTGCGTGGGGTGCAATTTTTTCTTTTTGCGTTTTTTGAATTAAATATCATGTCATGTAGTAAATAAATGTTAATTTAATCGTTATCTTTCTCATTTCTCTCGGTTGAAGATAAAGAAAGAGACATGAGAACAGGGCTTGCTATCTACAGTCTTAATATTGCCATTGTCTTCAATCACAGGAATCACATTATCGCATACGACTTTCATGTGGGGGTTCCTCGTCCCCACCATCCTTACCTCTCGTTGTTCCCTATGACGAACTGAATATTTGTATTTATACCAAGTTATCGAAATTCCTTAAAAAATATATGGAGACTCTGTTTAGCTTTGTTTATCCTACGATCGAGTAGATTGATAATGTCATTATTAATGCATGGTCCCTTGAATTTGAAAATATTATTAAATTTAATATTTATTTTTGCTTCTAATTCACACATTGTTTACTATTTCTAACTAGAATTTAGTTACTTCTTTTGAAATTGTAAGCTATAGGCTTTTCACAAAAAAAAATTTATATAACGAAAACAATGGAGTCATCCCTTGCAAAAGTGATAAATTAGGGGGAATAACATAACATTTAATATTCCAAGATCTAAGCTTAATATATAAAGCAGTACAATGTGAGACGGTGGTTAGGTTCCAGTGTTTTTATGGTTTTTTTTATCTTACAAATAGATGATTAGGTGCATGGTTCAATTTATTCTTTCTGCCTCGTGAATCTGTGTAAGCCATCAAATGAACGTTCTCACCTCTTGACAATACGATCTCTGTTTAATATTAGCTAAATCAATTACCAAAAGGTCAACAAAATGATCTAAGCTTTTAAATTTTGTTTATTATTTAGTCGGTGAGAAATTTACTATCGGAGCCACTTGTTATCCATGTGATGCATGAGAGTGAAACATCACACTTGTGATGTATATATATGATTGGTAACAACAAAGTGGTTAATCAAATAATGGTACCTGAATCAGCATTCAATGAGAACTAGCTTCAATCAATACAAAACAAAGATGTTAACCTGCCATCAAACTTTGCCCAAAACAATTACAATCAATAATTTTAGAGTTATCCATGTAGATACGGAGACTCCAGAGGGTAATTACACCAAAATGATGGTGTACCCGAATCAACATTTATTAAGAACTTCGTATATATCAACAACAACAACAAAAAAATGAATAATGACAACCTGCCATCAAGCTTCTCCGTTGCCCAAACAATTACAATCAATAATCTTAGAGCTATTCATGTAGATGCAGATATGCAGTCTAATCGACTCTAGAGTCTAATCACACCAAAATGTAATTAATCCTAGTGCAAACAAATATCAACAGGTAACCATTGCCGTTAGAGTTCAACGTCGGTAATCAATTTTAAGAGAACCAGGTCGTCATCGAACATTAAATGACAGAAGCGCCCGTTGCAGGGAGAGACACAAAAAGGATATATACAGCAGTATACCACCCATCATCGGACGTACGTCCCACGCACCCTGCTGCCGACGATGATGAGTTGGATGTGGACACACACTCCAATGCCGGTTTCATTTATTATGATTTTTTGTCTCTTCGTTTTTCTACCAACAATCAACCCTCATCTACGGCCTTTATTTATTATTATTTTTTTTTTTGTTGGTGGGGCTAAACTCTAAAGATTAGCTTCGCTTAGCTTTCTAGTCCATTTGGAAAATGCAAGTGTATCTCAGGCCCATCATCATGCCTTTGCTTTTACTAATGTTTTTTTTTTTTTTTGAAAGTGACGGAAAAGAAAGGGAAATGGCATGATGCGGAGACGAGCGGGGGGAATGCGAAAGTGCAACGTAACATGGACGAGGGGGAAATCTTTCTTTACGCCTAGTGAAAAAAATGGGCACGCATGTAGCCCCCTCGTATTAAAGATTTGATATGGATTCTTCCTTTGTTCTCTCCTCTCCGCACCATCATCATCTATAATGGCAAAATGCGGAGACGAGGGAGTCAATACAGAAGAAGAATACCATCTACCGCAAATTCTTTACGTCTTTCTTGGACAGCACGGCTTCTCCGGTGCATTTGCTTTGCGCTGGGAGGGTTTCCAAATCCTACTTCGTCGCAAATCCCTCAACGTGTGGGGGCTTACCGATGACTTCACTTCGCATTGATGGACGCATTTGTTGAGTTGTTGGAGTAGGGTTAAAGCAAGACAAATTGTTTATTCCATAGTTGGAAGGGGAAATTAATGATGGGGATCGTGACAAGGACTCGGAGGGAATTATTCTAACCAAGGTTTGAAGAGATTGGTGCAACCGTCACCTCCCCCACTAATTAGTACAAATCCATGTGATAATGTGTTTGCACTTGGGAGGATCGCCTAATAACCAAATCCAAATGTTTAAGTGTGCGAACAAACCAAATAAAATAAACAGGGGGAGGCGAAATCTAGCACATTATTATAGATGATTGTCCGACTCCTGTTGGCCATGTTATTAACTTTCTAGAATTTGAAAAAGAGGGGAGTAATATCAAAACCCCTACTAATTAATCCTCCACACAACCCAACTACCCAAGACATTGGCTAGCTTGTTTTTTTTTTTTTTTTTTTTTTTTTTTTTTTTTTGTGTTTGCACTTGGGAGGATCGCCTAATAACCAAATCCAAATGTTTAAGTGTGCGAACAAACCAAATAAAATAAACAGGGGGAGGCGAAATCTAGCACATTATTATAGATGATTGTCCGACTCCTGTTGGCCATGTTATTAACTTTCTAGAATTTGAAAAAGAGGGGAGTAATATCAAAACCCCTACTAATTAATCCTCCACACAACCCAACTACCCAAGACATTGGCTAGCTTGTTTTTTTTTTTTTTTTGTGTTATTGCTTGTTTCTGGATAGGTCTTTTACGCGGACGTGGGAGGTGCAAGTTGACAAATAATGCTTACGATAAAAGATAGTGAGGGGCGATTTTGTTCTATATTGCGCCCTTGTGAACGGATTGGGACTGATGTAATTTTGTGGAGGGAACGGCTCAACTTTAAATAATGGCCATGATTCATGGCAAAATGATCCCAATCAAGGCACTATTGGAAAAGGAAAAAAAAAAGGAGAGAGAGAGAGAATAATTCCACCCTCTTGCTCTCTTTTTAACCTATTCCCAACCATTTGTTTATTTATTGAAGGTGGGATTATTTCCAACATCAAGTGACAAGGTCCTCACATGTCATGGGTTTGACAATGACCTTTCTTAGAACTGGTACTTGTAATGGACAAGCAAGAGGTGACAACCATGGCAGAGATCTTCATCCCTTGCTAAATTGAATATTGGAAATGCGTTGATAATGATGGGAAAGATAGCTACTTATTCTCCTAAATTTGTTGGTTTCAAAAAAAGAAATGTACTGATCAACTGCTAGGTATTAAAACAAATCAGTAGGAAAGGGTTTACATTATTTCTCTAACCGAGTATAAAAATGCCTTCACCTAACGTGAGTAGGCAAGATCAAGGCCATGTTAAGGCAGCAGCAAACTGACAGGGATTGGTCAGCTAAGGAATTCAAATCAAAGACGGGATCAAAAGATCAGTTCTGCTGATCACACGGAGCATTTAGTCTACAACAAATGATAATTTGATGACGTTAGGCGTGTTGTTATCTCCACATTTAAAATTCCTACCTATGTCTTCTTTAACATTTTCTTTTTATTGAATGTTTGAGTAAACAAAGGTGGGCTTACTTTCTGCCTGCTTTATAAGTTGGAATAATTTGCTTCAAGAAAATTCAGTAAAAAAAAAAAAATCAAAAAAATCAATCACCGAATACAGCAACGTGATAATTGACCCATTAATTTATCACAGTTCTCCAGCCCAAAATGTCTACAAAGGGCATGAGACTGGCTTCTTCGTTGTGCGACTTTCTTCATTGATTGAAGCCTACATTTCAGTATTACAATAGAAATTAGTTTCTCGTTCCCTTAGATTAGAACAAATATTATTTGGAATCATTTTTTTTCTACCAATGTAATTTGAAATTTCTATAATGATTGTTTGAATCAAGAAATTGCAATTGGAACTAAACTAACTTTGTCCGCGGATCTTTTTGTTACTGCCGCATCTGTAAATATTGAAGCTTGGTTAGTGTTTTATCAACATGTCTAACAAAAGAAGATATCTAAACAGTTTGTTTTCTAAGGATGGTGAAAAATGGAAATTTGTTTCAGGCCCAAACTCCAAAATTCCCAAGTCAATGTATTAGTGCAATGGAAATAAGTTTCTTATTTCATTGGATCAATACATATTACAATAAAGATAAGTTCCTCGTTTCATTAAATTGACTAAAAGTCCCTATGTTTGTCTATGAGCTTACCTTGATTAGAATTTAATTTCTAGAAGATTCACGCTAAGCTTCTCTAATTCAAAATATAATTTCAATATGATGAAATTAGTTTCATTAACTTTGATATTTAAATTACTTATATCATTATGGAGTTCCCGCGCCCCAAAATATGAGTTCTTGCAATATTTTTCAAGTGCCGTTCTTTCGAGTTGAAAGCGCTCTACAACTGAAAAGCAGTAGTACATGGTGTGCGAAATAAACAAGTCAACATCACATTGTAACAAGAACCCCATGTTTAGTTGTAACCGCAACAAAAGTAATACTGCGAGTTTGCAGTGGACCTAAGAACAAGAAATTTTGGTGCAACAGCTACAGATGAGGGGCAAAAGTTTAGCCAGTGATGTGCAATACAGACAAATTACTAACATACAATCATTAAGTTTGATTTAAGACACAATTTACAGTGAATAAGCCATTAATAACATAAAATAAAAAATGACATTTGATTTCCTGGCATATATATGGGACGAATAAAGCTAAGCAGCAGTCTAATTCCACAAGTTGATCATAAGAAAGTGTATTACCAGTAGTCTTTCCATGCGTTCAACAACTGTGCAAACATGCACGAGCATAGTTTCCGGTATTCTGTGAAACAAAATCAAGTATAAACAGGTTCCTCTGTGTTTCAATGGGGGTCCGCAGTATGTTTTCCCCCTGCACAAAGCAAATCAACAATAGAAGGTTAGCTACCTTTCGCGAGAAATGTTTTAAACATGAAGATTTTCATCTCGAAAAGGGTTAATTGTGAATAAACCCCTTGTAGTGTCACTCAATTGCAAAGAGACCCCCTATAGTTCTATGTTCTATTTGTTGCGAGTACACCCATTTACTTCTACTTGTTGCAAATAGACCCCCTGTAGTATTAGTATTGTCCCCAGCGCGAACATCCCTTTAGTAAATTTTTGACTGTTTTAAAAGTGGGAAAAAAACCAATTGGGTGTCAATCCTCACTAACAAGCTGTCTATCCGTCTCCTCAAACATTTTTAACATATTTAAGAAAAAAAGGAAGGCGGGAGGGGAGGGGGTGCGGGGGGGGATGCGGAAGCCGAATCATGGTGTTCTATTCAAACAATGGAACTAAGATGGGTCTCTTTGCATTTAGGTAATACCATAGGGGGATCTGTTCACAACTAACCCTTTAGGAAAAGTTGTTTAAGCGGATTCATTTGCTAAAACTGGAGCTACATCAAAACACTCCCAGATACAGCATGCCAGATGATGTAGGAATAAAATTAGTTCTTAAGACAAGAAAACAACGTAAATACTAGAAACACTTATTTTAATATTTTTAATTCTAATAACAATTGAACACAATGAACATAACTTGTTTTACGTCTAACAATAATTGAACACAATGTACACAATAAACAGCTTCCTCTTTATATAATATAATAAAACAAAGTCCAAACATGAGAGTATTTTCCAGAGATCAAACACCAAACAAGATGCATTAATTTACATAGAAACATTTTTCCAAAGACCTTGATATATTTTATTTTTAATACAGAAACATATCACACCCAGTGCTATCACTGCGCAATGGGCAACACGAGGCCCAAAGTCACTTGACATGCACATTTGCGCAAGGCGCAATGCGATGCGCGCGCCTAAGTGAAGCAAGGCACAAACCACACACATAATTTTTCAAGATAGATAATCAAGGATTAAATAACATGTTTCTAAATTTTTACATAAATAATATGTCAAGTTAAATGATATTTACTACCAAATCACAAAAAAGGTCTTAATTCATAATGCGAACACAACCAACATAGTAGCAAAGTTCATAATTTTCGGAATCAAAGGTCAAATCAAGACTAATATTGAAGAAAAATCAACTAGTAAACGAAAACGAGTTAGGGTCCTCAATCGGCCTACTAGAATGGCCTAATGGGTTCATTTTTCTTTTTGAGATATCTACTTATCAGGTATGAAAACCTGATTTAAACGTTACACAACAAAAATATATAGGCTATGCCTTGTGTAGGCCTCATGCGAAAAGCCCTCATGCAGGGCACTTGCGAAGCAAAAAAAGGCATTGCGCCTTAGATGCAGGACGCTTTGCCACCACCGCATCACAGGGCGCATTAGGCCCACACCTTTGATAACATTGATTAAACCTTTAGTACAAATCAATTATTTTCTGATGCTGCTTTCCATAAGATAACAGGAAAGACAGAAGAAATTAATATCCCCCAATGAGCAGTATATATTAACTAGGTGTTGAAAAATGCTATAATGTATCAATGAAACACATAGGGAAATGCAATGCAAGAATGTGCTGTATAATTGAAGATATGTGTGGAAACGTTTTATACAAATCGAAGCATATCCAAGTATTTTGCAGGTCACATATGTCCATCTCATCCAAGGCTTGACAGAAGTTGTGGAACTACAAAAGGCTAAACCATTTTGGTCAAGTGGAATTATACATAAGCTTTAAACTAGACATTCTCCACAGTATCTAGTGTCTACAAAAAAAAATCTAATGTGATTAATCTATTTTGTAAAGTTACATAGCATGCAATCGAGAAACCTACTAATATATAAGCAAAAACATTCTTGAATTTCTCTATTGCAGCTCACAGTAGTCTCAGCAATTGCTGTAAAAATGCTTGGCATTGTATGACAAGTTAACTTTAAGCAATGTTTTTTTCCTTGGAGATAGTGAAAAATTTTAGATGATAATTTTTATATTACTGTGTAATCCGGTCCTTCACAATTGTATTTGGTCTTAATAGTAATAATAACAGGATTTGACTGTTTGCCAACCAATCAGAAAAATATAATAAGCTGAGAAGTTAAATGAAGTAATATTAATTAGTTATGGTGAGGTGAGATGGGGTATTGAGGGCAGGTATAAGAGAAGATATAATGCTATGATGGAAAGTAGACCATAAGAATCCACATAAAGAAAACCATCCAAGATAGTCAATGATGAGAAGTTTGAAATTATGGAATAAATTTTCATGATTATTTTCAGAATATAAAAAACACCGACACACTAGCCTAAAATGAAAATGATCTTCCATGATGATCACTGCGTATGCAGAGGTCCATGACAAACAAAATTATCCTAGCTGGGTTGAGGTTCTACAATTATCAACACAATCATCTATGCTAATTGAGGGAAGAGGCAAGAACAACATCATGAGGCCTAAGACCATGAAAATATCTTCATTGAGAAATTAAATCTAACTTCTATGAATTTTCCCTTCCTACCATGATGTCATTCCCTCTAAGTGCCAGCTTTTACAACCAAAAAGATCTGTATCTAATAGTTAATTTGCAAAAACAACCGAAAAGGAAAAGGAAATGAAAGGAAACAGGGCTATTAATAAATGCATTGAAAAAAAAGCTTTAGATTTTTTAGCTAGCTAGGAATTAATCCCATGGTTTAAAAGAAGTCTAAAAGGTCATTTTCATCGGTAATTGATTTTGGCAACTGTGGATAAATTGACAGTAATTATTGTGAGACTAAAGTGAATATAGTTCTCAAAATACCCCATATATATCTTATAAGGAAATTTTCATCATAATGCAGACCAGTAAACAGTATATGTTAAAAGGTTGAAACGTGCTGTCTCCACAGTCATACATTAATGTATTGACCCAAAAAAAGTAACACATCTGTAATGAAATATATGTCACAAGTTTTTCTTTACTATAATGCCACTTAAACTACAGAAAAGAGAATATAAATAAAATGCTCAAAAAGACAAGAAAGGATATCCCAGATAATCGACCATACTCCAAAAGCCTATTAAAATGAACACCAGTTCCCAGAGTCTTACCAAAGTGCATGTTTGGCATCTGTCAAACTGACTTATAAGAGCATCTCCAACAGCTTCCCCAAAATTTTCTCCAAAATGGAGAAACAAAAGTCATATTCTTCAAATTATTTTTTCTCCAACTCCAACAGCTTCCCCATTTTGAAAAATCGCATTTATTACAATAATAAAGCTCTCCCTAAAAATTTGGAGAATGCTGCAGATTTGGGGAAGGCTCCCTATTTTTTCTCCTCCTTCCCTATTTTGGGGAATGAGATGGGGAATCTGTTGGATCAAAAAAAAGCTCTATATTCTCCAAATTTGAGTATTTCAAGAAGATGGGGAAGCTGTTGGAGATGCTCTAAGCCACAAGTTGCACATAAGCCATTGCAACATGTTTGGCAACCGTCTTATTTTGGCTTATAAGTCCGGAAAAAAAAAGCTCCCCTAACCCAACTTATTTTTTGGTGGCTTATAAGCCATATAGTTTGACCAAGTAAATATCAAGTTTATGCCTCAAAATTAAGATAATTCCAAAGTCTATTCAATGTTTAAATTTAGAGCCATGCTTTTTTTTGTCATTTTGACAACAATGATGGACTATAATCCACCCATTTGACAAACATTTCCCTATTAAAGTGACTTATAATCCATTTTTTTACCAAACACTTTGGCTTATAATCCACTTGGCTTATAATTTATTTGTGGATTATAAGCCAAGTGGATTATAAGCTAGGTTCCCAAGCATGCCCAAAGGTTGACAAAGGCATCTCACCACATTGAAACCAGCAAAAGATGCCATATTGTTGAAATGCAGCACTTACTATCTCTGAAGCACGGATTCGCCCCCGGAGGTCACGAATCCGTGTCCTACTCGAATCGGACAAGGATTCGTCACGACACGTGCACGACACGTGTCGGACACGGTCAATCCGTGTCCGACACGGGTCAGCGGTCAAATTAGGCTCGGACACGGTCAAAGGAGCTCGGACACGGCTCGGATTTGCCGAAGACCGATTCATTCGGGTTGCGGGTTTGGTTGTTAAAATCCAACCCGAACCGTTCGATTAAAAAACCCATCCTTATTTCTTAAATCTCCCGTTCGATTTGATCCTCAGCTGATTCAAATGAAAGAAAATAAGAAAAAACCCTAACCCTAACCCTAATCCTCTCTCTCAATCTCTCAGCTTCCACTTCATAAAGAAAATAAGAAAAAACCCTAACCCTAACCCTAATCCTCTCTCTCAATCTCTCAGCTTCCACTTCATCTTGAGGTACTTTTTCTAACCCTAATCCTCTCTCTCAATCTCTCAGCTTCCACTTCATCTTGAGGTACTTTTTGTTTACAAACTTATTATTTTGTGATAGATTCATATTTTAGATTGTTAGTTAAATTTTATAAATTTTTCTATATATAATAATATTTTTTTAAAAAAATCCTTGTCGTATCCCCGTATCCTATTTTTTTGGATTTTGTCGTATGCCGTATCCGTGTTCGTGTCGTATCCGTGTCCCGTATCCGTATCCGTGCATCATAGCTTACTATATCACCTAAGCTGGATACACCCATAGGGTCATCAAGGCTATGCCAATAAATCAGGTTTCTGAACACTTTCAAAGTGACATATTCTGATCTCAAGATATTCCCGAAGGTTATTCTAATTTCTCTCTAACAACAGCAGGCTGACTCCAATACAAACTGTAGTTTTAGGAATCAACTGAGTAACATGAGTATGGATCGTGAAATTCAGAAGCTAAAGGTGACTGACAATGGTTTAAAGCTTAGACCCTTTAACCTGGATGGTAGTTGGAGACTTGGAGTTACATTTGGTCGAACCATCTGAAACAGCTGAACAGAGTTTCACAGGGTACATGTAGCAAATAAACAACTGACAAACACTTAATGGTAATAATATTCTGTTGACATTAGTAATATGTGTAAGGGGTTATGTGTAAGTTGTGTAGGGCCTATATAAGCCCAAGAGATCTCATAACTGTACGGAGGACTACTCGCAGTAATGCGGGAAATCCTCCCGATAGATATGGTTGGGATCTTGCTCAGTTTGTATCATATTCTAACATCCACCCTGCACATGGAGCATTCATTGCATCATTGGACTCTGTTACTATACCTAACAATTGGCAGGTTGCAAAGAAGGACCAGAAATGGAAAGCTGCTATGCACGAAGAGCTAGGGGCCCTTGAGAAGAACCGCACTTGGGAGTTAGTAAAACTACCAAAAGGGAAGAGAGCAGTTGGATGCAAGTGGGTCTTCACTGTGAAGCTGAATCCAGATGGACAGGTTGAGCGCTACAAAGCTCGTCTGGTGGGAAAAGGATATAGTCAGACATACGGCATCGACTATGATGAGACTTTTGCACCAGTGGCGAAGATGAGCACTGTTCGAACCTTGATCTCTCTGGCAGTAAATGGTGGATGGAAGCTACACCAATTAGATGTGAAGAATGCATTTCTTCATGGAGATCTGGTGGAAGAGGTATACATGGAAATTCCGCCAGGATTCAACACAGAACAGACAGTGGGCAAGGTCTGCAGATTGAAGAAGTCTCTATATGGCCTGAAACAATCTCCTCGTGCTTGGTTCGACAGATTTAGGCGGGCTATGATAGGTATGGGATACCGGCAGATTAACGCTGATCATACCGTGTTCTTCCGACGAAATGAAGGTCACATCACTGTGCTTGCGGTATACGTGGATGATATGATCATTACAGGGGATGATGAGAAGGAGATTGCCAAACTCAAAGTGAGACTGGGTAAGGAGTTCAAGGTGAAAGATCTTGGCTTGCTTCGATACTTTCTTGGAATAGAAATAGCTCGCGGAGCGGAGGGGATTGTCTTATCCCAGAGAAAGTATACACTGGATCTTCTTAAAGAGACAGGGATGTTAGGGTGTAAACCTGCAACTACACCAATCGACCAGAAGTTCAAGCTGGGTGCTGAGGCTGGAGAACCAGTTGATCGTGACAGATACCAAAGGCTGGTAGGGAGGTTGATCTACCTGAGTCACACACGTCCCGATATCTCTTTTGCAGTGAGCGTGGTGAGCCACTACATGCATGATCCAAGGAAGGGTCATATGGACGCTGTGTACCAGATTCTGAGATATCTGAAGAGTGCCCCTGGAAAGGGACTGATATTCAGGAAAAATGGATATGTGAGCATCGAGGGTTATTGCGACTCTGATTGGGCTAGCTGTGCTAATGACAGGAGGTCCACCTCGGGATACTGCATCTTTATAGGAGGCAACTTAGTCTCGTGGAAGAGCAAGAAGCAATCAGTGGTGACGAGATCAACAGCTGAGGCAGAGTATAGAGCTATGGCCTTAGGAGTTGCTGAGTTGTTATGGTTGAAGAGTATGCTGGTTGAGCTGAAGCTGGATCAAGGAGCTAAGATAAAGTTATGGTGTGACAACAAGTCAGCTATCAGTATCGCCAACAACCCAGTGCAGCATGATAGAACCAAACACATCGAGATCGATAGGTTCTTCATCAAAGAGAAGTTGGATAGTGGACTATTGGAGCTAAGTCATGTTTTAACTAAGGACCAGGCAGCAGATTGTCTGACTAAAGGACTTAGCTCATTAGACATGATTAGAGGATGTGACAAGATGGGCTTAGTGGATATCTTTCGCCCATCTTAAGGAGGAGTGTTGACATTAGTAATATATGTAAGGGGTTATGTATAAGTTGTGTATGGCCTATATAAGCCCAAGAGATCTCATAATAGGGTAAGGGTTTGTATTAACAACTTATTCACTTAAGGAACTGAATTATTTATTTTGAATATGGTTTACAAAGACATTTGATGCGTCTAAAAAGAATTCTGGAACCGGTTGCGAAGACATTCAAAAGGTTTGTTGCTTAGATGTAGAAACTAAAAATGAGCTGGAGAAAATCAAGCTTGGAAAACTTCGTTCAGAAAGGATCAACAAAGAAAGGTTGATCAGTTGATAGATAAATATTTAAAATAAAGAAGCAAACATACCTTGGCTTTAAGGACTGCTACTGGAAACTCGTATCTGCAATATAAACAGAAAGAAAATTTGAGGTTCATAGAAAATTTCCATGGCAAACATTTTGCAAAAGTAAAATTTGATGATATACTTGGTTCCCATATATATATGCAACTGAAGGACCAAGGTGTCAAAATATTCAAGTACTTCACAATCTGTTAAAATTTTTAATACTGATCTTACACTCACAAAGACTGAAAGATTTAACATAGAACACAGGAAAACATTTTCAAATTTCTTTTGTTAGAGGAAATTCGGTTAGATTCTTGCCTAATAAGTAAAGAATAACTGTGGCATAACTCAGAAAAGAGGCTAATAAAACAAATGATATAAAAATAACGTCCAATATGGATGGCAACTTCACCTTTGCCTTGCCATGAAGTAGGTGGTTCTTCATATATGCAGTACTCTGGAAAGAAAAAAGGACAAGTAAGAATTACACACACTTTTGAATCAAGTAAAATACAGTAAATAATAATAGTAATAATAGTAGTCATAGTAATAATAGTGCAAAGCTAAAGCAGCAGCAACATTAGAAGGCACTCATAATATCCCTAAACGAAAATAAAAGGTTAGAAACTAAAGTGGCAATAGAGTCTGATGAACCAATCAAAATCCAAATCATATCTTTGTGTTCAGATCCTTAGTTAATATCAGGATTTAGATAATGAATGCTAAGAATCCAAACTCAATAACTCGATAAGCGTCCATACAAATTAATTCACATAGTTGCCACTAAATCATATTTTTCTTCCTAAACTTTTATAAGTTTGTTTACTCATTTTCATAAGTATTACTTGAGTAGATACAAAAATTACAAAAGCAATAAAAATGTATTTTCCATTTAAAATTGACATATTTTGGAAGAAATGTTCAATATTGAGTTAATGACTATTGCGATAACGTAAACCATACCTTGAATCAGATAAATTATTGTTGGATTTCAAGAGAGATAATTTTTTTTTCAGCGGCTTTGGTTCCTTAAATGGATCCTACATACTTATAGTGAATCTACAAGTGGATCTTACAAGACTGAATCCTAATCCGACCCCTTGCCACAAGTATATGGACAGGTCAAAACAATAGTAATTTAACCAGTTACACTCAAGAGGAGCCAAAGCACAACAATCTATGTTTCAAGTTCCAACAGATCATCAGCATTATCAGCCAGGTTACCCGGACACTTCATCCAAGCTCCAATATCTGTGCCCCTGTCCGACACTTCTTGGACACTTCTTGAATGCATATATACATTTATTCAGACGTGTACTCAATTATATAACACACTTTAATTCAAAAAACTCGCGATACACTTCTTGAACATATATCGTACACTTCACCTCAAATTTATGCAACTCATTGGACTCGTGACAGGCTCGTTTTAGCACATACCTAATTCATAAGTATGATTTAAAGGGTGGTCGTTCGGGTACCTAGTTCAAAAATGAGCAGTTTTTCAATTTATAATATACTTGTTAAGAGAAACATAAAAATGATAAAATGATTTTAGTTATCATGACATGTGAATGAAAAACAATCTCAGCCTCAAATTGATTATTAATTTTCATATGTATGTATATAGCCGAGTCCCCTTATCCCAACTTTTACAATTTTGCTGTGTGAGGTATCCGTGTTTGTGTTCGTGTCTGTACCCGTATCCATGCAACATAGATTATCAGCATCTAAGATTTACATCACCATCTGCAGCTTAGCTTATTTTTCAAATGGAGATGGTTGCGGGTATACCTCTAATCAGAAGGTTCTAAGTGAAGATCAACCATAATTTTCTAATAATCTGTCACCAAATTTCAAATATCAAAATTGGTATCAGGCCGAAACATAACAAAAGGCCTTCGAGTTGGTGCCAAGGCAAGTCAGAACTATCCTAGAACCATATAGATAATAGCATAAAAGGAAATCTACCATGTTAGTGGAACAGTTTAAGCCAGTCAGCCAAAGAGAAGCTTCAGAAAGGATCCACATCAGTCCCAATTATTGCTAATCTTCTAGTGAACTCATACTTCTTTTAATGGTGAAAACAGATAGGATAAAACAACATAAATTGGCTAATAACTCACTAATAACTACCGGATTTGAGTGAAAGATTGAAGGAGTTAAATTATAGTCTACAGTTAACATTTACCAATTAGTCATGCATCCATTGTAGGTGTCTGCAAATGATGAAATGTATCAAGGAATTAATTAATAACTGAATGCATGCAAAAAGATGTCAAATGGAGAACAAAGCATCTCATCTTACCCATTTTGGTTGAACACAATGGATTATGGTCCTAAGTCCTCATTTCTAACCACAACAACGTGCTCCTTACCACAAACTCTTGTTCACAACAAACTTGCCTTGGAAGGGTTCCCTTCCTCCGGATAATATGTGTTTTTCCATGCAACTGCACAATATTTTCTGCTGATATGAGCATGCATTTAAGGAAATAGGTGCACTAGTTGGGTGCCTATCCAAACTTGGAATTCTGACATCGTCAATTTTACACTGCTCTTTACATGATAAATATTTATGATGCTAGAGAAACACTGAAATAATCACCTTTCTTTTTAAGACAGATACAGCTGGTGTCACTATTAGCTTTCATAATGAATCCTTGAAGCAGAATAATAATGCCTCTGTGCATTTGCATGCCCTAGTGCTTGGAGTTTTTCATGTCTTTCATCAATATAGGTACATTTAGTCAATAAAAACATGCTTAGAAAATAAAGCTGTCTATTAATTTTTCAAGTTTTCAACCCTCTTAATTTTTGTCTTACAGACGCACAAGACTAATCCAGAAAAGATCTTTCACTAAAATAGGAAATTACAATTAAAACAGGTTAAGAACAAAACAATAACCTTCTTTCCAGTTTTTTTCTTGAGCTTAATGGCTATTTCTTGAAGCAAAGAGTACTATCCTCAAAGTTTATGGTTACTTATATATCCCGTTTCTCCATTTAACTCTATGAAGGATGACTTAACTAATATTTTTGCGAGATATTTGCTTTCGTCTAGGATCTAGCTACTGCTATAAGTACAATTCCACCACGTGATTTAAATTCAAAAAGTGTCTACTCCTTTTAAACCGCACATATCCAAACCATTTCAAAGGTTCTACCTTATCTTAATATCTTAAATCACAGCACCTCAAATTTTACAAATGCACACAATTATATATTTCAGCATATTGACACTTACCAATCTTACCATTCTCAGTCAAAGTAAACTCATGACTTGGTCAAGTTATTCTTAATACAGCCTCTGAATCATAAAACATGGCTAGTCATATAGCCATCTTATAAGAAATTTACCTTGACTTTATGGACATCACATAGGAATATATTATAGTATTTAATTTCTAGACTATGACCGATCTCATGTTATAGAAAAGACTACGATCTTTGTCCAAATAATAAAATAAAAAGATAAGTCCAAAAAATAAGCCCCATATCTACTAGTTATTGCAAAATATTCTTTGTAATTTAGAGAAAACTATAACATTTGTAGCAGATGTTGATTTGTTTCACTAACGCCATGTATTCTGACTTGTATGTTGCAAAATCTTAGTAGAATGTACAAATTATGTTTACTCATACATGTCCATTTATAGACAGAGAAGAAGTCAAACGAACTAGCTTTTCTCTTTCTAGACAGTATGTCGATCAACTTGAACAAGATGGATAATTTAATATCCCGTCATATCATCAGATTATAATGGGATTAACTTGAACCTAATCGTTATTAGAAGCAGCCACGCTTAAATCCTATCTTTTCAAAAGTAGCTCATTTGGTTCCACGAACCACATCCTCCTTTTTTAATAGTGGTGCAGATCTTTTAATAATTGTGTATTAGCATTATAAGTGGCTCTTGAGAAGAAGAATTATTCAAGATGGTGGGCCGGAACTTCTCTTTATCGTGAAAAATCTAATCTCACCATGATAGTGAACTATTGATCCCAAGTTACAGAAAACGAGGCAGAACACAAGCCTCATATCAACTGGGGAAATAAATATGTACATAACTATAAGTTTTCAAACAATAACCTATACAGTTTTCCCATTAGGGTCCAACTGACTTTCAAGCACATTGACCATCCTCTCATGTTTCAAATTTCTACAACGTAATCCGTCAAAAACAAAATTCAGTTTTTCCAAAATTTAGTATCTTAAGTTGCGATGCTCTTCATCGGAGAGCTTGGTCCAATTCACAACACAAATTCAGTATATAAACCGAGATTCAGAAACCAACACCAACATTTTCACACAATTCACAGCCCCAAAATCAAAAATACTCGAACTATAAAAGAAGCACAGCGTCAATACCTTAGGATTACGCGGATAACTCTCCAGATCTAGAAGCCTCTGCATCGACATGCGCGCGATCTCAGAGATCGTATCCTCCCTAATCTTCGAATCTTCATCCGCAAGCTCCTCATACGCGGCCTCAAACGCTTCCCGCCAAAACCTCGGCAATTGAATCTGGCGATTGTGAGAGTAAACCTCCCACATCTTTCTCACTACTTTCTCTCTCTCCTCCACTTCCTAAATCAAATCAAGAAAAAAAAAGATCTAGCAATTTAAGTAGATGAACAAGATCGAAATAAGTGACCGTAGCGTACCAAAACATCGAGATCGGATCGGATCGCGGCGTCCGTGTCGGTAGCGGCCGAGGATTTGAGCGTGACGGTGCCGGTGAGCATCGACCAGCAGGCGAGGAGGAGGATGGCGATGAGCGCGTAGAGCTTGTAGCGGCCTTTTCCGAAAAGTTTGCTTGTAGCGGGAGTGGATATCGGCAGCAGATCGGAGTCCTTCATGTTTCAGCAAATTTTGTCGCAGTTGAGTGGGTGAGTGGAGTGGGATTTATGGGTGTGGGGTTTGGGATCTTGGGTGGAGATTTAGGGGCTGTTTGTTTTTTTTTTTTTTTTTTAAAAATGGAGAAAGCTTTCAAAAATTTCAGCTTTTTGGCAGCTTTTCTTCAAAATCATCCCTTAAAAAATAATTTTGGGGGAAAGCTACTAAAAAGCTGACATTTTTGACAGATTTATCCTTTTTTACCATCCAAAAAAACCTATCCAAACAGCCACTTATACAAGGGGTGGCTTGTTGTAGAATGATTGGGCCTTGGGGTCTAAGTTTGACTAGTTACGGGACCCACTATAGATCCGGGGGATGTAGATATTTTGTTAATTAGTGGGCTGCAGATTTTTTTCCCCCTTTTAAAAGTTTATAATTGAGCTGACACAATTTATTGTGGTAGATTACTCTTTCTTTAATTGCATCTCAATGTAGATACTGCTTTTTTTAAGCAAAGACCGGCGATTTGTAAGATCGTTAGCTTAGGTAGTTACTAGTGTCATGTCCACGTGATGCTGCCATAAGTATTTTCAATGCAATACTTTATCGATGAGATAACCTTGATTCTCAATATATCTATTTATTTAGAAGGCAAAACACAATCGATACCTTTTAGAGCTATTTCTAAATATATTTGAAATTAGAGAGGACAAATTTCATGTACAAAAATTTAAGCGTGCATTTAGTAGCGTTGTTTGCAAGAAATTTTGACCACTCGGTCTAGAATTTTCGTTGAAACTCAACGATATGCTGTCAACTTTAGTACAAAGAGATCACTCAGAAAGACTCAGGAAAGTCAAAAGGAAAAAGAAATTGCTCAGAAAGACTCAGATAAATTTATGCTTGTAAACACGTAACAATGACTACTGTATAATTGTTGATGGTTTATAAGGTCACACAATTAGTTGGATCCAAGATAGGATCGGTTTGTTCAGTGTTTAAAAGGGGCCGTTTTCTTCTATGACTTTATGTCTGTTTCTTGAGTTGGGTGTCTGAGGAATCCGCACAAGTAGAAATCTGTAAGAGTGCGAGAATTTGTTCCCTCATTGTACCTCCAACGATCAAGTTAGTTGATGAACTTGAATGGGGTCAAAAAAGAACTGTGTGTTCTTGTAATTGTGCAGTGTATGCGTAAGAGGATTAGATTTGCGTCCCCCCTTAATGTTAGAATAGTACATATATTTATACTCAATACATAAGGGGTAGATTAGTCACTTCGGTCGAGCACAGAAGGGCGATGGCGAAGTGCAGACTGGCAGCTGAGTCAACATCTGCTTTACATGTGTCGGTTGGCGACTGGATGGAGGATCTCCTCAGCATTAAATGAGAAGTGAGAGGGAGTACGGCGGTGACTCACGTGGTCTGATGAGTCATAAAGACTGTTAGGGTCGAGCTTTGCTACAGGGACCCAAAATATGGGATCAATAAGGGGGACAAGTGAGGTGTCTCCCTCCTATTGGATAATGAGTTGGCCATCATTAATGATGGCCAACTCGTTTTAATGATGACCAACTCGTTATTCAATAGGAGGGGGGCACCTCACTTGTCCCCTCTATTGGTCCCATATTTTGGATCCTTGAGGAATTTTTCAAGCAGAAGTTATCCTCTAGCTTTGCCGAGAAGTAACATCTTTCGAGTCGTCCTCGTGAGGCATTAGTCGAATGGTCGAGAGGACTCCTGATGAGCCATCTTCGACAAGAGGGTTAACTAGTACCGCTTCTCGAGTCGACCAAAAGGAATATCGACTCGACCAGTCGGCTAAGTCGGACTCTCTTGGCTTGGTCTACTAAGTCAATTGTGAAATTACCCTAGGGGGTGAATAGGGTAATAAAACAATAAATATGCAATAAATAAAATTCAATGCAACACAAGACACAAATTAAATGCTAAGGTAATAAATAAGGAGGAGAGTTAGAGAATAGTTATCCAAGATGACACAGCGATATGTTCACAGGGTTCAGTCCTCTGACCTATGTCCCCGACCACCTCTCCCGATGGTAACTTCACTATCACACCCGGTTTGGAAGTTGAAACTTTTTCACAACGATCTCCCCACGAGATCTTACAATCCTCACTATGATCTCCTCAAGATCAATCTCACCACACAATCACAATATGAAATAAAAGAAACTCTCTCACAACAATCCTATGACAAGGATCAAGAGATAAACAAATCAAGCTTAGAGGTTTGTGAGATGTGGAATTGAGAAACCAAAAACTTAGAAACAATTGAGAATGAAAGTTTGAGCTCAAGAACACTTAAAAACAAAACTTAGGGATTTTTCTTTGCTTGCTTAGTTGCTGAAGTGAAGAGAGTAATGGGGTATATATAGGAACCCCAAACAATAGCCCAAATCCCAAACAAGTACCAAAATCCCGAAAATTCAGTTGGTACAAAAACTAGTCGTTACAGTAGATCCGGTCCACCGACGGATCATGTTCGGTCGACCGACTATTTGACCGTTGTACACTCAGCAATCCGGAACTGGTTCGGTCGACCGACAATGTTGTTCTGATCGATCGACCCTCATTCATCGGTCGACCGCACAATGTAAATCAATTGACCGAAGGTGACTGTCTGCAGGGTCATGGAAACAGCTTCTCTGGTCGGTCGACAGACGGGCATGGCTCGGTCAACTGAAAACATGTACATACAGGAATTTGATATTAGTTGAAAATCTGACTTTGTAAATTCAAAATAAAATATCAAATAAACTCCAAAAATTATAAAATTTTGGAAAATGTTTATAAACATGAATGTAAACATGTTAGAATGGAAATTTTTGAAAACTCATTTCCCAATTGTAAAACCTTATCATTTTTCAAAAATGGTCAAAAACATGTTTTTTATAAGTGTATGTGTGAACCCCAATAGCTTCAAGTGTTATCTACTCAATGACTTGCCTACATTAAGCTCTAGAGAGAAAATAAAAATTTAAATATCTCTCACATATGAATACATTGCTTGATACATTGCTTGAGTTCTGATACTTGCTCATATGTTGATGAAGCTTCTCTTGTGTAAGTTGCTCTTGAAAGCTTGTTTTCATCAATTTGCTTCTACCTCCTTGGAGATCATCGTTGTAGCTCATATTCCATCAAATCCTACAATTTGTTGGCACTATTTTGCTTGGCAAAATACGATCTACACAATATCACTCAATCAAGCAATTAGTACCAATAATGGTGTTTGTAAATCATCATCAAAACAAAAGAACTAACAAATTGGGGCATTGGTAGCAGAAATACATCCGTCCACCACTTGTCAATGAATTGTATTTTGGCGAATGTGGACACCATAACAATAATCATCTCCATTCAAAAGTGTGAAAATTTTGAAGTGCGCAATCATTATGCTTGTGTCAAAACAACAATAAGATAAGTCTGGGAAAATGAGGGAGGATGGAGGATTGAGATACTTATATGGTTCTTGGTAAACTTCGCATGGTAGGCAAAATTAAATTTTGTTAAATGTTTCAAGCGAACAATTATGAGAAAAAAATGATACGCTAGTTCCAAAAAAAAAGGAAATTGGGAGGAAAAGATGGATGATTAAAATACTTACATATGGATCTTAATAAACTTAGCATAGTGATCAATTTCAATCTGCTTAAAATGTTAATTTCCAGGGAACAACTTCAAAGGGGTTGTAAATTAAGTTTCTTGGGTTACAATTGTAGAGAGGAAGAGGATTAGGTGAAAGAGAAGTTATTAAGAACAGATGAAGTAAGGATGAAAAGTTAGATTAGTAACTTGAGGGAAACTGGGAAAATGATAAGTTAGGTTACTAGTAATCAAAATTATCCAGAGCTTTCCCTGCTAAATGAAAATCACCAAATAAATTGACATGGATTGAACCGTTGAAAGTGGCTACAGAGATTGTTTATTAAAAAGAATTCCCCGTATGATAGTTGAAAAGAAACTTAAGAGGCAAGGCAAATGCCTAAGTGGAAGATAAATAAATAATATAAGCAAACGCCTAAGAGACTGCCACATGTAGAGGTAGGATCTTACTTTAGTATAGACATACTAGTGTGCACCCCCACCCCGTGTAAAACATGATCCCTAATTTTTTAAGCACTGTATTTTAAACTAGTCTCCTTCTAAGTTTTAATATACATTTGATTTAATTATTGTATGTTTAAAATTAGAAATCATATCCACTCTTGTATACTTGAAGAATAATCTAAGTTTTAGTACATTTGGTTTAGAAATCATATATATTTCTCTATACTTAAAGAAAGATCCAAGTTTTAACAGATTTTATTTGCTTTAATGTTTTATGATACAGTAAAATATTGTAGCATGAACAGTAATTATTTGGATTCTCCATTAAATATAGAGGAGTAGATTTGTACTAGCATTTTAGTTTGTGCTAAGCACAATTATTTTTTCATGATTCAATTTTTTGATAATTACAAAGACCCTATAGTGTATGCATCAGGCTAATACGTATCATATGACCACTTTTATTCTCTATATTCTTAATTTAGTTTACATTTACTGAAATATATATTAGTTAAGTAAATTATTCAAATAGAAATATATTATTAATAATCTTAATTAGCTAATTAGGTATGTAAATTAGATATTTTTGTAATCAATAGAGAATATAATTTTTAACCAAATTTTTTATTTGATTTATTATGCCCCAGCATTTCTTGTTAAGATATGTTACAATTTTACCACGTTAACATGTAAGGTTAGTATTTAAACGTAAAATAAATTCAAAAAAGAAATTCAATAAAAAAATGAAAAATTACATTCTCAACTCTGAAAATAGAAGAGCACTCAATATCAAGAGCCTCACTCCACAATTACAAAACACTAGTGTTTTAGGCCGTGCTAAGCACGGTCATATCATAATTCATCTATATTTTGTCGTGTTTCAATCACTCTTATCCGAATATAAATGTAAAGATCTAACCACTCAACCCTCATCAAAACACGTGAATCTCACTCTCACCCACCCCCATTGAGGTTAGATAACATATTACTATCTGAAAACAATGATATTAAATAATTTATATAAAGCTATAA